ATCGTACCAAAGAGATAGACACAAGGTCAATTGCCAGATAAAGTGATGATGTTGTAATTTATTATTTGCTTGTCATGTTGACACGTGGAAAGTAGATAAAGAATAGGGCACGTTTTTTTTTTTTTCTGAACAGGACAAGTTTAACTTATCTTGTTGATTATCTTCGCATTGGTCACATCTCTGTCAGATTTTGAATGATATAATAAAGTTATCATATTATTGTCTAAAGAAATTTTACAATCTAAAATAAATTATTAATTTAAAATAATTTTTAATTCATTTAATTTAATATAAAAAATTGAAATCAAATTAGTCCTGACTATTTTTCAAAAATTTTGGCATAATTTTCTTTAAAAATAAGAATTCAAAAAAATCTAAATCTTTCGACATAATTTACAATCATATATAATAATTATCATTATACACCGTACCACCACAATTCTATTCTACTTTTCTCAAAATTAGCAATTCATACCAACGACCAAAATAATCATCAATTCACATAAAATCGAACATATCTTAATAATCATGCGTAATTAGTTCATCGTACTNTAATTATAACCGTTAAATTACCATCAAATTTCAATATTTAATGAGACTCACTGATAATCATATCTTCTATCTAGAGAACTTTTACTTAGACTCAATGTTTGGTATTGATGAAAAAAATAAAAGGACAGAAATAATATACATACATAATTTACTATTTTAGCCTTATATGAGATTAGTGTATATATTATATATCATATCACTATGATATATGTATCATGTGTTTTAACAAACACAAATCACATAATAATACATCTATTTCACCGATAGGTATATAAGTTTCGGATTGGGTGTTTAATGGAAATAAATAATTAGTTAAAGGTTAAAAAAATAAATAACCACTTACCATTTTTTTTTTATCGTACCAAAGAGATAGACACAAGGTCAATTGCCAGATAAAGTGATGATGTTGTAATTTATTATTTGCTTGTCATGTTGACACGTGGAAAGTAGATAAAGAATAGGGCACGTTTTTTTTTTTTTCTGAACAGGACAAGTTTAACTTATCTTGTTGATTATCTTCGCATTGGTCACATCTCTGTCAGATTTTGAATGATATAATAAAGTTATCATATTATTGTCTAAAGAAATTTTACAATCTAAAATAAATTATTAATTTAAAATAATTTTTAATTCATTTAATTTAATATAAAAAATTGAAATCAAATTAGTCCTTACTATTTTTCAAAAATTTTGGCATAATTTTCTTTAAAAATAAGAGTTCAAAAAAATCTAAATCTTTCGACATAATTTACAATCATATATAATAATTATCATTATACACTGTACCACCACAATTCTATTCTACTTTTCTCAAAATTAGCAGTTCATACCAACGACCAAAATAATCATCAATTCACATAAAATCTAACATATCTTAATAATCATGCGTAATTAGTTCATCGTACTACATACAGAACAAATAAAACGCATACAAACTACACACAATATCACTAAAAATTATAACATTCAAAAATTAACAAATTCGTATTTTCACAATTAATAAAAGATAAAATTGAATTTTTGGAGAAAATAATTGGGAAATATATATGATAGCTATGAAATGGGTAAATTAAAAGTAATTGGTTACACCTAATGTGTGTGTGCATTAAATGNTCATTGATTCAACCGTTAGATCAACTGGTTGGATCGATCGTATAACAAAAAAATATAAAGTATAATAATTTAACCAAAAAAATAATATGTTCATAAAATTCAAAGAATAAAGAATATAAACGTGTGAGAGAGAAAGACAGTGAGAAAGTAGTAAAGGACAATCAATATCAGCCAGTGGAATAGAGAAGAGAAATCTTTTATTTCAAGAATGTGAAATGACCATTTGTCTTGCTCACATTTCACACACACACAGATGACTTAACAAAGAGAGATGGAAGAAGTGATCGTAGTCTGAAAAACATTTTAAAGCATTCCCAGTGTTTAATTAAGCATCAATCTAAAAAAAGGGAANCAGACGACTTAACAAAGAGAGATGGAAGATGTCATCGTAGTCTGAAAAACATTTTAAAGCATTCCCAGTGTTTAATTAAGCATCAATCTAAAAAAAGGGAAGACCTAAAATTTATTTTGAGTAATACCATTAAAATTTTAAAAAATGACTTAATTTACTGACATAATAATATATGTCAAGGACAAAGTTCAATGAAAAAATTTAACAGTTTGAGTCGCAATAACATATCCACACATGATTATGATTTAGGTCTTAATAACAACACTCATTTATTTTTCCCATGCATATTTTCTTGTTAGTCTCACAAAAAAGGCTAGTGAATATCACAGCAGCATTTTATTGCAATACCATTGGAAGGGAACAACCTTCCTTATTATTACAATACATACATACTTAAAATAATTTGCATGCTGCATAGGTTATTAGTACTGGTAGCTGATCTTTGATTTCAAGAGTTCGAACTTTCTGAACCCGATCCGGTATGGTGTATCGCTTAGAACGAAGCGACCCTCGGAATCACGGC